GGGCTTTGTTTTTTGTTGATTTTCGGATACATTATATAATTTCAGAGTTAGATGGTACTTTAAGAGCTTTGGGTTGAACTAGATGTTTTCTCCACAATCAGTGCTGTACGTGGCACGTTCGATTTCGGAGATGCGTTCCTTAAGCTCCATTCATACGACGAAGTTTTGCATATATGTAGATTTGCTCATGTAAGCAAATTTACACAGATGAGTAAAAGTATATTTCCTACGCATTCATACGAGGTTAGGGTGACATAAAAGCAAACAGAAAAAACATCATTGAAAACATTCATTTCTGACATAACAATGGACAGGGTAAGACTGCAAATGCACCGCAGAAACAGACAGCTGCCATTTGACCTCAGTGTTCGGGTTTGATTCTTGGATGTACCACTGACAGGAGCATGAGAAGAAAACCTAGATCAACACAGTGGTATGATAGCATCGCTTTACATCGATCTAGCGAAACAGATTGGTTTGAAAACTTCGGAATGAGAAAGGAAACGTTCCATCTGATATGTAATAGACTGAAAGATGATCTGTCTCCCTTACCAAATACAGTAGAGGAACCACTTGACGTCCACAAGAAAGTTGCGATTGCAATCTATTGGATGGCATCATCGGCTGAATACAGGAGAGTTGGACATCTCCTTGGTGTAGGAAAATCAACGGTATGTGTTTGTATTCATCAAATGCGTGAAGCAATCATGAAAAATCTTTTTTCCCGATTATGTCAAATTTCCTGAAGGAGAATCATTGAAATTTTTTATTCATGGCTTTGAAGAAAGATGGGGATTTCCAAACTGTGCAGGTTCCATTGACGGCAGTCATATCCCTATAGTTGCCCCTGAACATTCACATGGAGAAATTTTTACTTATACCATGTAGCAAATTTGCACCTAGTGCTGGCTAGGTGTAAATTTACATATGTGTGTAAAATTTGCATATAAGCAAATGCGTTCATACGACCAAAGTTGCTCACATAAGTATATTTACATATGTGTAAAGTGAGCAAATTGGGTCGTATGGATGGGGTATTAGTCGTACTACAACCCTTGGGTCTTGGGTTCGACTCCCAGATTTACCTCAGCTGAAACCCTTTGAGGTGAGGTGAAGTGAAATTGGGTTTAACGTCGTGCTTGAGAATATTTCACTCATATGACGACGTGCATGCGTGTGTATGTGTATGTGCGGCTGCTTGTACTAGCGCAGACTTAGCTGGTTTTATAGTGCTAGCCCACTGAGATATCATACCGCATTGAAGCATGAATACCCCACTCAGACACATTATACTGACTCCGAGCCGACCAGTCCTTGTTGTACCCATTAATGCCGAGCGCCAGGCAGGGACCAACAAGTACCATATTTTAACGTCTTTTGGTATGACGCGGTCGGGGATCGAACCCGCGACCTTCCGCTCTCCGGGCGGACGCTCTAACCACTACACCACGGAGGCGGTCTGAAACCCTTTGAGCAGGGACCCGAATTGCAGAGATGGCTAGGCAGTAGGGAAAACAATGTGTTTCAGGGACTGGGAGACAGACAAGGGGGAGGGTTTAGAATATATGGAGATAAGCATCACCATCCTCACCACCCATGCCCCATCTCCCACCCCCAACCCCAACCCCATCCTAGCACATTAACACGTCGCTCCGAGACTAACATTTTGTCTATGAAAAAACATATTTTACAGAACAAAACTGTTCTTTAATCATGAAAGAAAAAGAAGGAACCCAGAGGTTTTCTTCATTTTCAGTTCTACAAAAACATCCATAGGCTATATTGGATATATTCATCATCCGCTTTCCTAGTAGTAACATGATCACAAGAGCTTAACATTGCATTGCAGCGGAACTACGATTCGCTGCTGTCAGGCAAATCATGAACCAAATAAATGTTAGGTTTCGAAGATGAATACCATCTTTCCTAGAAGATATGTTTTCGGGAGTATTATCTGATATGTTGACAAACAGGAATGTGCTCTAAGATTATATCGGGGCGGTGGGGTAGCTTAGTGGGTAAAGCGTCACGCCGAAGACCCGGGTTCGATTCCCCACTTGGGTACAATGTGTGAAGCCCATTTCTGGTGTCCCCGCCGTGATGTTGCTGGAATATTGCTAAAAGCGGCGTAAAACCAAACTCACTCACTCTAACATTATATCGGTCGATCCGTGTTCTTGTATAGCAAACTGGGCCGTTTCACAAAGCCATCGTAGCGCTACGACTATCGTATCTCCCATACTTTAACATAGGGTTACGACCGTCCTAGCGCTAAGATCGCTTTGTGAAACAGGGCACTGGCGCGTATTAACATGGAAACATTAGAGACAGTCTACAATATCTTATCTTATTTTAACGTTGAACTATACTTAGACCGTGATTACTGTTCAAGATGCTGTGTCAGCTGTAGGTTGGTTGTACACGGGTTTTATCCAAAGCGTTACAGTGTAAGATTGATAAGGGTCTATTCCAGTGAAAAGTGTATGTTATCAAACTGTCGGGGTATGATAAACTCGTATACTCCCCTGTTAGTGAGCGAGCCGTTAGTCACCCAGCTATGTACAGCTGTTGTGTATATACATGTACATGTATATATATACACATACCTAAATCCACCCACGACATGCCCAGATACTCATCTGTGTTGAGCTGACACGGAATTGGAATGACATGAGGAATATGTGCCCGCTGCTGCCTTGTCGAATTGATTTGTGGGAAATATTTTACCCCCACCGGGTGAAAAATGGGGGAATATAGCGACTGGCGTGTCCGTCTGTCTGTCAGCCGTCTGTTTTCCATTTCTAAACCTTCGGCTAATTGTTGATAACCCATGTTATGAAGATTAGTTTTATCATGAACTGGTGTCCTTTGTAGATTCGGATATCTTTTTATTTTTTATTTTTCTTTATCTTATTATTTGCCATTTCCATTTTTTGGGGGGTGGGGTGGGGGTGGGGGTTGATGATTTTTTATGGCGACAATGTGAATTTTACTCTAATGAGGGTAGTGCTCACTTCTAGAGCATAACTTCAAACGTACTGTAGAGGGTTTTTTTATGTGGAAAGCATTTTGACATTTGTATTCATGAAACTTGCTTCACAGATCAGCCGTACGGTGAACTGGCGCCGACTGCTATATTTTGGGATATTATAATATACCAATATTCTCCAATATTATCCAATGGCAATGAAGCAGAAGCAGACTTTAAGTAACCAAACCCTTTCATACTATTGCACCAGGCCGGGTAAATAATAAAAATAATAATAAGTGCATTTAAATATGCATCTCGCCATGACTGTCGTTATGTTGGGGGAGGTTTTGATATGGTTCTTTAAACCGGTTTGTTATTTCTGTGTATAATATTGTAAATATCATTTTTAGTAAACAGACAATTTGTGACAAATGATATGTGAATAAATTAAATTAACCCACTTTCACGGTCATATCAGGGTGATGTTAACGCGATGGATCCGCCAATCTATCCTAATCTTTTGGTCTGGTCAAAGTCTGGTCAAAGATCCCCACCCCGCCTTGTTATTGATGCAATATTGCTGAAACCCAACCCAAGATGTTTTTGTATAATCGTGGGAAAAGGTTACGTGCATGTTGAAGACAACCATAGGATTACTTGCGTAATTCGCTGATAGTTGCTGTTCTTGTTGTGTCAGGATCTGCTGAACGTGGAATGGAATCTAAGAATCCAGTCGTCTCTCGTGTCTTCCATCACCATACCTATGCACGTGTGTTGTGCCAAAGAGATAAACATCAAACATCTAGGAGTAGGGGTATCCCTCCCACGCAACTCTCACACGCAGTGGCACCTCAGCAATAGTGTTTGAACAATGCATAAAGGTCACTCACTCACTCAAGATATAGGATATTTATTCTCACTCACTCACTCACTCACTCACTCACTCACTCAAGATAATTGGATGTTTTATATTCAGACAATGTTTCACCACTAGCATGAACAAAGACTGCCCATGCACGATAAGGCGTAAATGATTAAGATGGAGACGGCATGCGTGTTTAGAGAACTCTTCACTCAGTGGGTGGGCGTCTCTAGACAGTAACACATTCCCAAGAGAAAGGCGTTTTCTTGTGACGTCATTCTATTGTTCCCTCAACGCAAGAGGTTGTACAAAGTTATGCTCCTTAAACGTGCCAGGATGCTCTTAGGGGTCGAATCTGCATCAATTCGAGATTCCTCCCAAAACAATTCGACAGTGGCATTACCAAAATTCATCGGAGACGATGCAAGCCACACCGTAACTCCTTAACATCTTGCTGAATATTACGTTAATTTACAAATAATAAAAAACATCTGATATGTTCGACATGCATCAACAGTCATAAACCAGTTATTAATACCTATTGTTGATTATTAATTCTGTTTGGAATCATTTACTACTTCGTGTCAGAATGAGTTCCAGTTAGTAGCCGAATGAAGAAGTTCGGGTGATCCGGTTCACTTAATTACTGCTTGTGTATCCTCGTACCCCGATTGTATGAGTTGATGTTCATACTATCAACCACTGGTTTTTGTCACTACCTACGGCGTTAAACGACATTCACACATCAGTAATGAACTTTACATTTCAGAGAGCAAACCTTCTACATGTACTTTGAATAACAATGCTATAATCAGGCAAGCCGAGCTCTCGTGTTGATATGTCAGACGCGTGAAGATCCGGGTTAGAATCTTCTAGTCTTCAGCAACCCACGCTTGTCGTAAGAGGCGACTAACCGGATCGGGTGGTCAGGCTCGCTGACTTGGTTGACACATGTCAACGTATCCCAAATGCGTAGATCGATGCTCATGCTGTTGATCCCTGGATTGTCTGGTCCAGACTCGATTATTTACAGACCGCCGCCATAGCTGGAATATTGCTGAGTGCGGCGTAAAACAACAAACAAACAAATCATTACTGTCGTTATGATTTCATACATTGTAAGTTTCTGTTGCTGGAACTGTAACCAAATACTGTTATCTCTTGCAGTGGTCTTTCATCGGTGGGCGGAATCTTCGTGGGTCTGGGTGGGTGTGGCCTGATGGTGCTCCTCCTCCTCTGTATCCACGCCTACTGCTGCCGGTACACCCAGGACGTGTTCACCCAGACCTGGATGGGGGTGAGTAACGTTATATAACTGTACTTTCTCTCATTGCTACTCCCCTAAAACGCCCCGCCTTCAAAACGCAAGTATCCAGGGTAGGAATAGAGTTGAAAAGCTGTCAAGCTGGCCCCACTAGTTAAGTACATGCACTGGTCAGTGAGATACCCATAGGGGTGACGGGATCCAAGAGATTAGTGCTGAACTTTCTACTTCGTCTGGGGTCCACAACGCCAATTTATTATCTACATTATCTAAACTCAAGACTGTATCACGAGTCACTGTATGCTGGTGTTCACCATCACCTCATCAACGTGTCATGGCCTCCCAGACCCGTGAAGATCCGGGGTAGAATAGGTCTTCAGCAACCCATGCTTGCCACAAAAGGCGACTATGCTTGTCGTAAGAGGCGACTAACGGGATCGGGTGGTCAGGCTCGCTGACTTGGTTGACACATGTCATCGGTTCCCAATTGCGCAGATCGATGCTCATGCTGTTGATCACTGGATTGTCTGGTCCAGACTCGATTATTTACAGACCGCCGCCATATAGCTGGAATATTGCTGAGTGCGGCGTAAAACAACAAACAAACAAATCATTACTGTCGTTATTATTTCATACATTGTAAGTTTCTGTTGCTGGAACTGTAACCAAATACTGTTATCTCTTGCAGTGGTATTTCATCGGTGGGCGGAATCTTCGTGGGTCTGGGTGGGTGTGGCCTGATGGTGCTCCTCCTCCTCTGTATCCACGCCTACTGCTGCCGGTACACCCAGGACGTGTTCACCCAGACCTGGATGGGGGTGAGTAACGTTATATAACTGTACTTCCTCTCATTGCTACTCCCCTAAAACGCCCCGCCTTCAAAACGCAAGTATCCAGGGTAGGAATAGAGTTGAAAAGCTGGCAAGCTGGCCCCATTTATTAAGTACATGCACTGGTCAGTGAGATACCCATAGGGGTGACGGGATCCAAGAGATTAGTGCTGAACTTTCTACTTCGTCTGGGGTCCACAACGCCAATTTATTATCTACATTATCTAAACTCAAGACTGTATCACGAGTCACTGTATGCTGGTGTTCACCATCACCTCATCAACGTGTCATGGCCTCCCAGACCCGTGAAGATCCGGGGTAGAATAGGTCTTCAGCAACCCATGCTTGCCACAAAAGGCGACTATGCTTGTCGTAAGAGGCGACTAACGGGATCGGGTGGTCAGGTTCGCTGACTTGGTTGACACATGGCATCGGTTCCCAATTGCGCAGATCGATGCTCATGCTGTTGATCACTGGATTGTGTGGTCCAGACTCGATTATTTACAGACCGCCGTAATATAGCTGGAATATTGCTGAGTGCGGCGTAAAACTAAACTCACTCACTCACTCACTCATGGTCTCCCAAGTGTCATCGTTTGCATCCTGTAAACTACCCGTCTCAGTTACCTGCCCTTGTGACACCTAACCAGTGCGGCCTCATCTTATGAAAGTTCTACACCGCCTCCGTTCTGAAAAATGTTTCATTTATAAGCTTGGAATTTTAACGAAAAGAATATATTTTCCCAGAAAATTATGTTTGAGATTGTTGAAACCAATCTGTTGTCCTACTCGCAATTTATCCCTTAGTCAAATACGCGATGTCCTACACAAAGTTATTTTTTTCTTCAAATACGCGATGTCCTACACAAAGTTATTTTTACTTCAAATACGCGATGTTCTATACACAGTGTATCTAACACATGTGCAGATTCGGAAATACTTTGTTCACGTTAACATCGACTCCTCCTGAAGCGGAAGTGTTGACAAATATATAAATACACAGAAAATATACCTCAACATTTAGCACGTACCAATATAATAGCGAACACCTTTACTGGTGAGAGGAGCACTTTATTCAGTCCGACCAATTAGATTTGGACAGTACACCATATTTCAGCAAGTAATGACTGTTTTGAGTGACGCCCAAAATGTGTTTAACTTTTATCACATTGTCCCTTGAAAACCCTTGCCAAGGTGTATTAAAGAGTGTTCCTTCAAACAGTGGGTTTAGGTTTATAAATATTTGTTCCGTCAAAGACAAACGTTGCAAGTAATTGCTTCTTCAAAGAAATTAACATTCCTTTCACACTCGGAAGTGGGGAGTTACTTAGACAGTGGTATAATTATAACGCATTTGTTGGCTCAGCAGGAGATCCGCGACCTCAAGAGACGCCGAGGTCAGACAAGGTTATACTGCTAGTAACGAGGTCACATGACTTTCTCCGGCCGATAGATACAACATAAAAACTAAACGTAAAAAGCCAAATCACATTAACTAACAACATCATGATAGATCTTCAGGGATAAGTGTTGCATCAATCACCGCCATGTTCAAATTCCGTTCCACTCAAAAAATGCCAGTTTACAAGACAGGAAATATCAACACCGAAACGTTGCCCCTAGCAACGCCATAACAACGATGTGGCTGTTGAAACAAACCCAAACGAACCATACCGCTGACTCTACGAAGGTAATTTACTGTTACGGAAGCAACATGCCTGATGAGTTGGTGTTTCTTGGCTGTGAGTTTCAAGAAGTGTTCATCCCCATCTCTGGGATGCTGCCAGCCAACTGGTGACTATTTCAGTCTCCAAGAGTTCTGAGTTCCGTGCTGCGTCACGATAATGGCCCACTAACATGCCGCCAGAAATAAACAAACCCCACACAACCTTACAATACCGTTATATCGATAAAACATGTGCCCACTCCGAGCGCCATTGTCAGGCTCACAGTTTAACCCGTACTGATTCATACAATAAATATCTTCCTGTTACACTCTCCTAAATAAAATCGTTGTAGACAAAACGGCGACTGACTGGATTCTGAACTTGTAAGACATCTGTATTTAATGCAAGGAATACTAGTAACCAGAGTATTTTAAAGTAAATCTATAGTAAACACATCTAAGTATATGATACAACTACTTCCGTGGTATTGTTTAAGATTAGCATCAATGCATAATCACAAACGGGGCCTGGACAAAAAATACTATAGCCCCAAACATGGCTACTTTCTCATTGGATTTTGTGACTTGTGTTGCGTCATCCTCAATTAAGGGCGGTTGGGTAGCCTAGTGGTTAAAGCGTTCGCTCGTCACGCCGAAGACCTGAGTTCGATTCCCCACATGGATACAATGTGTGAAGCCCCCATTTTTGGTGTCCCTGCCGTGATATATTGGAATATTGCTAAAAGCGGCGCAAAACTAAACTCTCACATTCATCCTCGATTGTCCAGAAATATATATCAAATTTATGACTGGTTTTATCGTGGGAGCTAATATTTGGATCAAATCCCACATGGACGCCGGTCTACACGCTTACTGAGTTTGGAAATCTAGACTATACAGTTTTGAAAGAAACAAATAATTCCTTTTCTAATGAAAAGGTTTCCCAGAGAGAGGGCAGATTCGGAATCTGAGGAAATCTAGACTTGCTTAATTCAGGTCTTTAGTATTGCAGAAATGCGTGAGGGAAAAACTGTGGTTCGGGGACACACTAAGGGGAATCCCACGGAGATGAGTGTCATGCTGACAAACGTATAAAACATAATCCTGATGAACCTGGATTCGAACCTTTCAACATAGCCTTACGGGAGACAACTCTGCATAGCGAACTGATCCTCTTTTGACTCATGACCCCGACGACAAATGAATATCACATTGCCAATATTTAATTCACGGCTTACCCTCATTTAATGTGTCACTTTGTAAGTCAAACTTACATTACATCCCAACTATCTGAAAATGCAAAGAGAATTTATATAAATAAATACAAAAAACAATAACTTACATTACATTCCGACTTTGAGGGTTGAATCTTTCATAAATTCTGTTCACTCTCATTCCATTCTCAATAGACCTGAGATGACATGCATGTGTTGGTAGCCATGTTGTCTGGTGTATGAGAGACCAGGAAAGAATATCAATGTATGTTGTGGTGGACACTGCGGACATCATACTCACCTTTCTATTGTCAAGTCCACCTTTTTCATGTGTTGCTTACTCTGTTTATGACCTGATATCTTGATGTTGGTGTTGCAGGGAGAGGGTGAGGTGGAGGAGATCCCCAACTATGCAGTCATCCAGAAGCCATCTTCCTTGAAAAGGTCTGAGTCAGGTTCTAAACGAAATGGCCGCACTCTAGAAAAACACGTCACCTTGTCACCGGATACGGAACTGAAGGAAGGCTCCAGTTATGTGACAACAGCGCCATCTGGCGGATCACCTCGCATGGATACCGTTCACCAGATACCAATCCACCACTCCAGCCAATCCCACATGTATAGTCAACAGAACAGCTTCGCTAACCAGACCCCCATATACAAACCGTCGGGTCCAGTGTATGCCCCACCTATGCAGCACCCCCTCGGGCCAGCATACGCCCCTCCCTCCCCAAACCCACAGTACCCAGTCCAGGTGTACCCCGTGAGGGGCACCTCCTCCACGTCCTCTTCAATCAGGTATGGATTCGACGACGACTACGACAACCCAGCAGAGACTACACCGATGTTGTCTACCCAAGCAGGAACTTCCTCTTCCGCTTACCATTCTCAGATTAGATCCTCTTCCAGCTCGCATCAGTCGTCAAACGTCCAAACCAAAGGGGGAATCCGTACTGTGGATATTGATATCCCGGAACCTCAGCCGCTCGTGTACCCGTCGGCCAAGCGACCTATGACCTTCGAGCAGACGTCTTCATCCAAGATGAGTGTTTACGACAACGTACTGTCAGCCTACCCTGAAGAAGACGTGGCTTAGTCACGTAACTGAATGGCCTGTCGGGTTTATACAAAAGACGATCTCAGTTCAAGGTTCAGTTCCGGTTAGAAAACCCAGTGATGAATTTGCAACATTGCAAGTGCTGGGTGTATGTGAAAAGTGAGATCAAAAAACGAAATTGATGAAATACAAAATATTCCCTTGATACGAGAAAATATGATTCTGAAATGCATAATCTACATCAAGAAATATTTATGTTGAGAAACTGAATCATCAATAAATATCAGAAACTACAGGGTATTTTCCACTCCAAGCCGAGAGAAAAAAATCATCTGAGCATGTCAGGAATTCGAAGTGACGTCGATTGAAAGATTGAAATGTGCTCGTTTGAATGACGCTTGTAACTGATTTTATTTATATTGGAATATTTAGTGACTATTTTGTTGACAAATTCTTCAAAAGCGCGTGTGACCTCGAAAAGACCGATACGACCTATCCACCAAATTTTGAATGTTTTGAGGAACAATGTCAACCTGAACCAACCGGCGTGCTCATAGCGCATGTCAGGATGTGATGTCATCGTTTGAGTGTGTCCCTTATCCTGTCATCTTGCCAAAGCAATAATCCATCAAAGGATATTGTGTCGCGGTGTATTGTCTCAAGCCAAAATTTTCTTATATAGAGTTGAGCAGTTGGAGTTTAATTGTTGAGTTTATTCTGTTATGTTGGTTTTTGTTTCAATATTCGCTGTGTATATTTCGTCACTGCACAACAGGGTACGGGGTACGTCATACGTCAGAAGGTCCGTACGATGTTTCCAAGATAAGGGGGATGTGCCCGCTAATCCTTATTACTTAAATTAAATCCGCCTGGCTATCACTGCCTTGACGATGACGAGTGCCAGCATATAACTATACCTTAAGACTGTGCCTTTGAGACTGTGCCTTAAGACTGTGCCTTAAGACTGTGCCTTAAGACTATGCCTTGAGGCTGTGTATTAAGACTGTGGCTTAAAGCTGTGCCTTAATAGTATGTATTAAGACTGTGCATTAAGACAATGTCTTAAGGTTGTGCCTTAATAGTATGCATTAAGACTGTGCATTAAGACTATGTCTTAAGACTATGCCTTAAAACTAATATTTAGTCCCAAAAATAAAGTTGCCTTTGTTAAAAATGTAAAATACTAATAAAATCCAACTGGAGCCCAGAGCAATATGTTGGCGAGCCAAATCAAATCTAGATTTGAGTTCCTTAAGTCATCTTCTTAGAGACCATTTCTTGGAGACCTTTATTGGAGACCCTTGTGTATACTTCCCAGGAAGCTGAGAATGAACACCGAGTGCAGACTAATCCACTGCCATTAGAGTATTTATACTTATAATGTAGCATCATGACAGTATCGTCTCGAATCTGTGTGGAAGTCATCTTCGTGGGTGTGGGAGACGGCTACAGTCTCTTGTGTATGATCCCCAGGGAGCTGGGAATGAAGTCAGTGAAAACATGTGGATGGATTTCTGTAATGTTTGGGGCTCCGGCCACGCCATGTGTTTGACATACACGGATACATATAAAAGCAAGATGGGCGTTTTCATTCGGATATACCATATAAATTTGGGATCCAACAGTGGAACGAAATAAAATCAGTATATTACATTCACAGTGGAATGTGGAACAATGTTAATGGACTCTTTATATTACTAGTATTATGGTTGTGAGAAAAGAAGTCTTTTCGCGGTCCTTTGTATTAAAAGTGGGGCAAGAAATTCGGCATATCCCCCCCCTATTCTTGGATAAATGTCAATGGAACAAGATTGTCTTTGTGTACAAGAACGAAAACAAATCTCAAATGCCACTATTTGTGATACATCTATCTCTGGATATATCGATCATTGGCATCAGTGATTTTTTTTTCCAACCGTTGCACACTTTGTGATAACTTGGTCATATTAGAACTTCGTTTTAAACGATGATAAATTCGTTATGTACGAACTTCGCTTTATGCATGGTAATGTTTTGTTTATATTTGAACTTTTCTGTTCACAGTATGACACATTCGTGATATGCGATATTAGTTGTCATGTGGTGCTAAATTCGGTATTTCGTCAGTTCGCTATTTACATTGTGATCACTCCGTAATATCTGTAGATCTATTTGGTGATAACTTCGTCTTATACGAAGCTCACTGTGCATATTGGGATAACCTTCGAATTATCCTAATATTGTATGGTGATTATTTCGAAGATCCCCGTGAATTCCCTTATGTCGAATATTGACAGGTTATACAAAATGGTTAGTTGCCCTTGTCTCAGATGGAATTTCAAATGATGATGATGGGATTCTTTATATAGTAATGATGGAATATACCACATTATTCAAACTTTATATACTTAATACAAATTTGACATGATACTATGCAATTTCTACATCTTGTATTTCTTGTTATTTCCCCCAATAACGAAATCAGCATTAACATGAAAGGTCAGCTTCGAAATATTTTTCATGATATTGAATCAGCTCACTGAGGCTTTTAGTCGCGCCCATGTTCCTAACTCCCTCTCAGCCTGAAGATGACCAAGATCCTCCGTCGTCACGTGACTGGGTAAACAGTAAACATTGTAACACCTTTTCGGGTCAGCTTGTTTACTGTTAGCACGATTATATTGACTGACCACAGATACATGGCTTGTTCGGGGCTGGTAGGGCTTCACGTAGGCCCCAAGCCGTGGATATTGAACGGCACCACGTTGTCGGTGGGTAAACAGCGGTCATGGAGTGTGTCTCATTTGTGCTGACATTTCTAAAGGTCGGTTACATGCCAGAAATTCGGCCACCAGAAGGCGCGGCACGTGGCACACGTGAACAAGAGGTCGTGTTATTTGGTACAGTTGTGTAGTGATGATTGTCGTTATAATGCATCTATACCATGTTTGGCTATTGAAACAACTTATTGGCTCGGCCAGGGGCGTAGATGCCATTATGAAAAAAGCTCGGGCTTACACATGATTGTTTCTAAAAAGGTTGGGCAAGCTCTCAATACTATCTAAATATAAAGCTTTGCAACCCATCGGGCTTACAACGGGCTACGCGCCTGGCGGCTCAAACAAAACAGGTCGCTACGTTCGATAGCAACAATTTGCCGCTGCAAAATTTACAATATTCTCTAACTTTTCATCTTTTTATTATTTTAAATTTACATGAATTGGTTCTCACTGACGGTAGGGCGGTGGTGTAGCCATGTGGTTGAAGCGTTCGCTCGTCACGCCGGAGATCCGGGTTTGAATCCTCACAGTGTGTGAAGCATATTTCTCGTTTCCACCGCCGTGATATTGCTGGAATATTGCTGAAAGCGGCGCAATACTAAACTTACTCACTCACACTGACAGTAGTAACGATGTTAAACAGACCGTCAGTTTTTGCCCTGGGGGGCGATGGGTTAGCCTAGTGGTTAGAAGCGATTCGCTCGTCACGCCGATGACAGACCTGAGTTCGATTCCCCACATGGGTACAATGTGTTAAGCCCATTTCTGGTATCCCCCGCCGTGGTACTGCTGGAATATTGCTTAAAGCGGCGTAAAACCAAACTCACTCACTCTCTCTTTGCTACAGGACGAAGGTATGACTGTATTAATGTGGTTACTCGGACCTCTTACATAAGTTTCTTTGTTCTTTCTATCCGTTTATTTCACTTCCTCTATTAGTCTTGTTATCCTTGACACTATTTCTGTGTCTCAATCTCTTTTGGATCTCACCCTATATCTCTTTTCCTCTCGTGTCATCTTACTCTTGAAGTCTACATCGCCCCGCAGCACTCTCTCTCTCTCTCTCTCTCTCTCTCTCTCTCTCTCTCTCTCTCTCTCTCTCTCTCTCTCTCTCTCATTCTCACTCACTCTCTGTCTGTCTCTGTCTCTCTCTCTCTCTCTCTCTCTCTCTCTCTCTCTCTCTCTCTCTCTCTCTCTCTCTCTCTCTCCCTCGCCATATAGCTGGACTATTGCTGAGTGCGGCGTAAAACTAAACTCGCTCATTCACTCACTCTCACACACACTCTCTCACTCTCACTATGTTAGATTTCTTTAAGTGGTACCACCATCTTCCTGACACCCGCCCTCGTTAGTCTTACTGTGCCCCTTGACCGAAGTGTAGTACCTCACACATAGCCCACAAGCACAATCCCGCCCTGCGAGTAAACACATCGTCACCCTCTAATAAGAACACGCCCACTCTTAAACACTGCCCCGCCCAATATACGCCCCACCTCACCACCTTTCACATCCCAGACACCCACAACCCGCCCGACCTGTCGAGAACATGCCTGTATGTAAACATTTATCTACCCATCGTCTGTACATGTATCTCTGTGTCTGCCATCTGGAAGTTTAGAGACCTAATGTCATTGTTATCAAGGGCTGCATTCTAGTGGTCATTTCTGTTTGACCTCAAGGCTGATATTATTTCGGACACTGGTTGCTTGTCTATATTCTAGACGTCTCGGTATCTATGGACTTCTGTGCGTCGTCCGTTTTCCCCTGTTCCGATCTCTCTCTCTCATCAGTAGATTTCCTTTTATGTAATTACCTCTTTGTGTCTGTGTGAGTGTGTGTGTGTGTGTGTGTCTGTGTGTGTGTGTGTGTGTGTGTGTGTGTGTGTGTGTGTGTGTGTGTGGCTACGTCTGAGTTGGCGTTAATGTAGCTCTGTGTGGCTGCGTGCGCGTGCGTGCGTGTGTATGTACGCGTGTGTATGTTTTCAGTATCCATATCATATTTACATCTAGCTAGATCTGTGTTCCTATTCTCTGTCTTTCTTCCTCGCTACAGTTAGCTCGCTAATATACTCATGCCAATAATGGTTGTCACCCCCTTCAATTTTCTTAATTGGAGAGGGGTGTGGTGTGGAGGGTGTGAGAGGTGTAGTAGGGTTGGGGTGGGGAGGGGGTGACAACCATTATTGGCATGAGTATACTATTTATGACTATATATTTATATCTATTTCATCTATCTGTTTCTATCTATCTATACCCTATACCTATCTCTATCTAGTCACAACATATTCGTAACAATCTCACTAAGGACCCGACGACTGAACGATCCAGATAAATCCAGACGATTCTTTGCGAACTAGTCCGTGCCTTACAAAACATAAACACCGAACAAATTTCATTTGTTCACGTTTCTAGCCACTGGGAGCGGTCTCACCGGGTGAAACTTCGTGTACGTAGTAGATTAACGCTGTTTCTGAAAGGATATAATGTTTATGCCTAAACAAATTATAGAAACAAGAAGATAAAAGCATTCTGAAAGGGAACCAAAAGGCTAACGCTTAGTCACTGAAGATATATAATTTTGATTGTAACAAATAAACACATTTAAACCTAAAAGGAGCCCCAGTGAGTTGGGAGGTCCTGAACCTGGGGAAATCTAGACTTGCTTCATTAGGGGCTTTAGCATTGCAGGAAAGGCTAGGTTGTAAGAAAAATAATATGGTTCAGGGACTGTGAGACAGACTAGGGAACCCAGTGAGACAGGAGGTTCAGACTTTGTGCAAAATCTAGACTTACTTCATTTAGTGCTATAGGCTTAAAGTAATTGTTGGGTGGAAGGAGAACAATACGTTTCAGGGACTGTAAGACAGTCTAGATGCGAAGTGCCAAACTCCCGAAGAAGCCATTCTTGGAATTCCCACTACCTCCGTTGTGTGGGTACCAAAATGGCACCGGCGTTCTTTGATATACATGTATACAATACTGTGTTTCTGACTGCAACCACGTGGTGGACGTGGACACCATCTGCTGACATCGCCAACTACATCCCCCGCTCATCTGGTAGACTGCCAACCCGGCCACACTTGGTTCGTTCCGTAATTTGACAGTAGATGTAATCAGGAGAGCATCATGGCGGAAAACAGTTGTTGACGGAGAGGATGGAAATAACTGGGTCCATCTGACCTGATCTGCTGCAGAAAATACAATGTTGTTTTTAATGACGATGCATAGGTTACGGCGCCACGCCGACACGCCGAAGTAAGGCAACTTTTGAGGAATGGAAGGTGTATGCGGTCGCCGTGCACTTCATATAACACATAGGCGGATGCAGACGGGGGTGGTTGCAAGGGTGGGCACCTCCCACCCCACCCTTGTCCTGAAAGTTTATTAAATGACGGGTGAAAATGATGTACCCATGTGGGGAATCGAACCCAGGTATTTGCCGTGACGAGGGAACGCTTTAATCACTAGGCTACCCCACCGCCCCTCATTTTTCTGGAATATTGCTGCTTGCGGCGTTAAACAACATTGAAGGTTTTATCGCGTTTTACAACACACGTTACATATCACTGGAATGAATTATTCGCCAGAATATCTATTTTGACAGAAGTCCAAGGTCAAAGCATTTGCCCAGTTGCGTAGATCGATGCTCATGTTGTGATCACTGGATTGTCTGGTCCAGACTCGATTTTTTACAGACCGCGCCATATAGCTGGAATATTGCTGAGTGCGACGTAGAACTAAACTCGCTCGCTCACTGGAATGTAATATTCACCAGAATATCCATTTTGTTAGAGGTCAAAGGTCATAACGGTTTGACTGTCTACAAGGAAATGGGCGTATACGTGAATTCAAGGTGAAATCAAAAACAAGCCCACGTTGACCTTGAACAGCAAACCAAGAAAGGTACTAGTCCTTGACCTTAGTATATTAAACCCTGTGACTGACAACCAAAGAGGAGAATGTCTGTTCGATAGATAAACTTGCACTCAGGTAATCCTAAAAATACCCAGGTCTGTTTATAGCCACAAGGACGGCAATAGACATCAGTTTAGTCGTAAGGAAACCTGTAGCTAAGACGTCAGGGGCACCCTTCACATCATTCGTGACCAACTCGTGTTATTCCGGGACAAGCCGAATAGCGAGGTTACGGAAAAGGGCGATATCACATGAGAACATGCATGACGTCGATATCCGCCTGAAATAATGAAGATTTAAATTTTTAACTCGCTCAAATTCATGGAATGTTGCTTTCAACCTTAAGTTATTTTTATGAAGATAAAAATAAATACATGTGAAATAGATTAAATAACGTTTTGCTACGGTAATTATAAGTACATATTCTCAGTATTAATTTGATTCACTTAATATCAACCACATGTGTTAAATGAAAATGTGTAAGCGATGCGTTAATAATTTCCGGGGAAACGAATGTATACACCAATCTTGGATGGTGGGTTGAAAGGACTTTTAAGAAATTGGTAGAAATAATATATTTGAAACTTGGCATCATCTTAAATTTTGGACCTGAATTTTGCAATGTTTGATTAACTGTTAATAAAGTTTTCATAACGTTTCATATTTTTTTGTTAAATCTTCAAGTTTGCAGTTTCTTTTTCAAACAGTTCATATCGATAGTCATCATCAGACATGTTTTACTTCCCCTTT